GAGTCACTGAGTTTTCCAAATAACTGCTTTTTGCTCTCATTGATTTTTCTTTCGTGTTTTGTCTTCATTGATTTCTGCTATTATTTCCTTTGGTCTGATCGTTTTGGATTGAATTTGCCTTATCTAATTAATTAAGGTGAAGGTTTAGCTCATTGATTAGAAACTCCCCCCCCTTTTTAAAAGTAAGCATTCAGTGTAATGAATTCCTTTAGAGGTAAAGCACTGCTCTTGCTACAGTTCATGAATGTTAACGTTTTCCTTTTTTTTTCTTTAAAGAAAGGATGTTTTATTTTATTTTATTTTTTTAATTTTTTATTTATTTATGATAGTCACAGAGAGAGAGAGAGAGAGAGAGGCAGAGACACAGGCAGAGGGAGAAGCAGGCTCCATGCACTGGGAGCCCGATGTGGGATTCGATCCCGGGTCTCCAGGATCACACCCTGGGCCAAAGGCAGGCGCCAAACCGCTGCGCCACCCAGGGATCCCCTTCATTTTCATTCAATTCAAAATATTTTCTCATTTCTCTTATGAATTGCACTTTACCCCATTCACTGTTTAAAATCTGCGGATCTTTCGGAGATCTGTCATTGACTCATTACATTATGGTCTGAGAACATACTCTGTAGTATTTCAAGTTTTTTTTTTTTTTTAAATTTGGGTTTACAGGACGGCCCAGAACACGGCACGTGGTGACGCGCATTCCGTGCACACTGGAACGGACGTGCGCTCCACTGCGGGTGCGTCCGTCCGTCCGGCTGCCTGTCTCCGCGGGTGTGGGTCTGAGCTCCGACAGCCCGTCAGTCCTGCGGTCCTGCTTTGCTTCCTGTGCGCTGAAGTCCTGTGGTTGTGGGTACTCATCCTCGGTGTGAAACCTCCACGTGTGAGGGTGACGTAGCCGTGCCAGCTTCCCTTTGATTCGTGTCTCCAGGATAGATTTCCCCATCTTTTAATTTTTTCCCTGCCTTTATATTTAGAGTGGGCTTCTTGTAGACAGCATAGGCAGGCTTTCTTTTTTTGGTTAAATTCTAATAATTTGACAATCTGTCTTTAATTGGTGTATTTGGACTGTTTATATTTATGTAGTTATTCAGAATTGAATGTACGGACACCCGGGTGGCTCAGCGGTCGAGCATCTGCCTGCAGCCCAGGGCGTGATCCCTGGGGTCCCGGGATCGAGTTCCGCGTCGGGCTCCCTGCATGGAGCCTGCTTCTCCCTCTGCCTGTGTCTCTGCCTCTGTGTCTCTTGTGAATAAATAAATAACATCTTTAAAAGAGAATTGAGGGGGATCCCTGGGTGGTTCAGCGGTTTAGCACCTGTCTTTGGCCCAGGGCGTGATCCTGGGGCCCCAGGATCGAGTCCCACGTCGGGCTCCCGGCCTGGAGCCTGTCTCTCCCTCTGCCCGTGTCTTTGCCTCTGTCTCTCTTTCTCTATGTCTATCATAAATAAATAAAATATTTAAAAAGATAAAAGAGAATTGAATGTAGATCTACGACTTGTTCTGTTTGTCCACCTGTGTTGCCCTTTCCTGCCTTCTTTTGGATTCTTTGACAACCTTAGTATTCCACTTGGCCATCGGACTTTTTGCTGCATCTCTGTATTTTATTTATTTATTTATTTATTTTTTAGTGGTCACACTAGGGATTTCAGCATACATGCTATCCTTTCACGGCTGACTGGGAGCTAACCGTAGAGGCCTTACCCCCGCCATGCCAGTTGTGCATTCACAAGTCGTGTTATAATTTTTGCTTTCGACAGCACGTGTTTTTTAAAAACTTAAAAGGGAAAACGATCTTTTCTATGTACTCAGATATTGCCCATTTCTCTTCGTCCTCCATTCCCGAAGACACACATCTCCGTGTGGCATCGTTTCCTGGCGGCCTGACGAGTGTCATTATTATCTCCTTAGAGCAGCTCTGCACAACCAACTCTTACTTTCCCTTCTCCTGAGAGTGTCTTCGTTTTTCCTTCCTCCCCAAGGCATGTTTTCATAACTCACTGAACCTTGGGCTGACTGTTGTCCTCCAGCACTTTCAAGATCCTGTTTCCGCGTCTTCTGGCGTCTGCGGGTTCTGATTCACAAGCGCGTGTTCGGACTGTTGTTCCTCTGGGCAGGTTTCGTATCTACCTAGTGCCGTCCAGATTTTTATCTTTGCTTTGTTTTTAGCAGTTTATGGTGTGTCTAGGCACGGCTTTCTTTGGATTTACCGTTTGGAGGTCACTGCAATTCTTTTTTATTTATTTATTTATTTATTATTATTTTTTTTATTTATTTATGATAGTCACACAGAGAGAGAGAGAGAGGCAGAGACACAGGCAGAGGGAGAAGCAGGCTCCATGCACCGGGAGCCCGATGTGGGATTCGATCCCGGGTCTCCAGGATCGCGCCCTGGGCCAAAGGCAGGCGCCAAACCGCTGCGCCACCCAGGGATCCCGGTCACTGCAATTCTTAAATCTATAAATTGAGGTCTTCAAATGTGAGAAATTTTTGGCCAGTTTTTCTCCAAAAAATTTTTCCCCCTGCTCTATTTCTCTTCTCGGGATTTTAGTAACATGACGTTGGACCTTCTCATCCGGGCTCACAGGCCCCCGTGGCGTGGGCTTGCCCCCAGACTCCCATCTTTTATCCAGGCTGGATTTCCTTTGGCCGATTGTCCAGCTGAGTCTTTCCTTGGATACCTCCTTTTTGCTATTGAGCTTGTTAGTTTTTTTTTTTTATTTATTTTTGGCTTGTTTTTCAGTTCTGAAATTTGCATTTTGTTCTTTTGTATACTGTCTCCCCACCAGTTGAGATCTTTCCGTCTGTTTCCAGTGTGTTTAACTCTACCTTCTGTGACATGGTCTTGATAATTGTGTTCACGTGTCTCATTCCACCACCTGGATCTCAGGGTTGGCATCTGTTGATTGTCATTTCCCTTGGAAACTGGTCACGTTTTCCTAATTCTCTGTAGGTGAGTAACTTGGGATTGTAAATCCGGCATCGTGGCTGCCGTGTTGTGTAGGCTCTGGGTCTGTCATAATCCTCCGGAGAACACTGGTTTTCGTCTCAGCAGCCTGTCACCCTGGCTAGTTTACGCCGCAGGTTCTGCTGCCTCCAGCGGCCAGTGTGGCGGGGCCTCCCCGCGCGTCTGTAGACAGGGAGTGACCACACAGGGAGCCAGCGCCACCCGAGGCCCCTGTGTCGTCAGGACAGTGCCCCACGCTCTGCCGTGTTCCCGATCCCCTCTCTGGGTAGGACAGGGTGTCAGGGAGACCCTCTGGGGTGGCCGTAGACGGGGAGAGGGCCAGTGCCTCCCCAGGGCAGGGCACACGGGTGATCCAGGGTGCCCCCATCTCATCCTGGGCGCCCCTTTCTCCCAGCTCCCCATCCCCTGCTTTTATACTTTCCATGCTGCCTGTACTGGGGACAAATGTGTGTCCCACCAAAATGGTCCCAATGCCTCGTCCTCCCCCCTGCCCTTTCCTGTCCCAGTCTCCCAGGTAGTCCTCTCTAGTCTGATGGCCCCTGGCCCCCTTGTTAGCCCCTCCCACCGGTTTCCCTGGCCCCCAGTGATCTTGAGCAGGATACCAGCTCTGCCGCCGCTACAGACAACTGTAGTGCTCCTGAGCCCTATGCCCCATACGTTAGAATGAAGTGGGGTCAGGGTCAAGTCGCTGGGGTTTAGGACCAGGGCTCAGTGCTGGGCAGGGTCAATGCAAGGCTTGTGCTCGCAGGAGAGGTCACCCCAGCTCCCTATGCGCACGCGCACACACACACACACACACAGACAGGCGCTGGCAGGCCAGGAAACTTCTAGGGCCAGGGCCGAGGAATCAGCTCAAGGTCAAGCTGGGCCACACCTTCCTAGGTAAACAGAATAAATGTGTAAAAAGAAAAAAGATGATTAATGGGTACATACGACCTAACTTCTTGGACTTTGAGAGGATAAGCTTCCCTCTCCAACTTCTGGGCTATTTCAGAGGAGATGAGGGTGCTCCTTGCCCGGGGCAGGAGGAAGCCCATGATGCTGCAGGGTGCACGTCGGGGAGCGGGTGGTTCCCCGGGAGCGGGCTGGGCGGACCCGGGCAGGTTCCTTAGGCGCACACCAAGAGGGCATCGGAGCCCTGACGCCCCACCATGCAGCCCCACTGCGAGCCGTGAGGGGGCCCAGTCAGTGCGTGGCAAAAGGCAGGCTTTGCAGACAACCCTGCCCCCTGGGTCCTGGTGGGAAGAGGGAAAGGAGGGGGGGCACCTCCCCCAGCCAGGCTGCCCAGGCCCTCCATGCCCTGGGACCGGCAGCTGCCGTGGGATGGGGTCACCAGATGGAAGGTCTCCTCCTAGCCTATCAGAGCTGCCCCCAGGGGCACTGTGCATCTTGGGGACAGGTGGCTGGGTTACCAAAAACAAATGGGGGGGCCCAGGCACCAGACTGGCACTGCAGTTTCCTGCAAAATCTCCCAAATTAGCTGGCAGACAGCCCCCTCCTGGCTAAGGCATACATTACACCCCAAATCCAGATTGAATTTTCAGCTCATCGCCCTTCTGGCTGCACCCCATCCATCATGCCCTCAGAATGAAGGGCACGGAAGCCCCCTCTTAAGTGGTCCCCCTTAAGTGGGACCCCCCCCATCCCTCTCCTTGTTGTTGTCTGCTCACTCCCTGGGGCACTGGGACTCCAAGCCCCCTGCCCTCCCAGAGGTATGCCGCTCCCTCACCCCAAGGGGTCTGAGGCCGCCTCAGTGAGTGAGCCCACGAGGGTCTGTCCCACTGGAAGGGGACAGGACACTGCCCCCCTGCACCCTGCTACAGGCAGCTGCCCAGAGGTGACGGCGGAGCCCCGCCGGGCGCACCGAGAACCTTCGCCTGTCTCTGCGTCCCCAGCCCCACAGGGTGTCGCCCCAGCAGGCACCCTTGAGTGAATGCCCTGGCAGGGGCAAGGGCCTTGTTTCAGGGATGCTAGAGGACAGGAGCCACACTTAACGCACCCAGGTGTTCCCATGGACCCCACGCCACAAGGCAGCAGACCATGCAGGCATCGACTTTAATAGGGGGCTGACCTGTTTGAGGGGCTGGGAGGGTCCCCTTTCTGTTCTTGTTGGGAGGGACGTGTCACTGGGATTGTCTGAAACCAAGATGAACCGTCAACTAGGGAGCCGCGACCACCCTCCACAGCCTCTGCCCTGCAGCTGATGACTCAGAGACGGCGGGTCAGAGAGCCCGGGGTGCTCGGCAGGGTCCCAGGCAGCAGGGCCGCGGCCACCAGAGCAGACCCCGTCAGCACCTCCGGGGACTCCAGTGAGACCGCTGGCTCCCCGGGACGTCCCTCTGTGGTGGGGCCGCCTCTGCGTGCACAGCCGCATGTGACGGGGACTGTTCGGTGGTCCTGCAGCCACCAATCCAGCAGGGGTGCGTCCTCCCCGACCAGCCCGACGCCCCAGAACGCCGACACAGAAGAGGAGAGGTTTCCAGCCCTGAAACGACGTGGAAACTGGGCAGGTCAGGAAGCCAGGCCAAGGCAGGGACTCTTCCACTGTGCTGCCGGGCCGCCGTCGGGAGCAGCAGGAAGAAGCGAGGGAAGGAAGGGCAAGGAAGCTAGGCTCGACGCGCCCTCCAAACGGAGAGCGGGCTGCAGAGAAGGCAGCCGTGGAGCCTCACGGGGCCAGGGACAGGAGTGTGCCGGCACCAGGAGCGTTGGGCCTGCCTGTGGCCGCGTGGGAACCACAGCGTCAGAGCTGTGTTGGCTGGAGGGTCCAAATGTTGCCATTTAATCCAGAAATGAGAGCAAGACAGCAGCGCCAGGGCAACGCTCCGTAGAGTCATCCTGGTATCAAGCCCTGTGTGCGCCACGCTGCGCCGTCAGCACCTGACCGGCCTGGCCTGGCGCCGGCCTCCTGGGAGCCGGGTCAGGGCTGGCCACGCACCCAAACTCTGTGGGCCCCAGTCTCTGGGGAGTCCCTGCCAGTCCCATGCAAAGAGGCCAGTTAGGAGGCTGCCACCAGGTCCACCTGCTTGGGCCTGGCCTTGATGGGGACTTTTTCTGTGGAGGAAAAAAAAAGAGGTTAAAAAAAAAAAAAGAAAAGAAAGAGGTATTTGTCAAGTATACAAGACCCCACCAGCAGAAACTTCCAGAGGAGGAGGGGAGGTGGCAAGGAGCCAAGTGCCAGGGCAGTGGGCTCTGGGCAGAGCCTGCGGGGCTGACAGGCAGTGCCAGCGAACAGAGCGGTCCAAGGCTCAAGCACTCGGGGCCCTGGCGTGAAGGAGGAACGCAGGGGGGCAGAGAGAAACGTGGAGAGGCCAGAGCCACGCAGGGCCCCCGCGGAGAGCAGCACTGCAGGGCCGCTCGGCCCAGGGCCCTGCTATTTAGAGGACAGCTCGACCTGGGCTGGACACGGCCTTTTCCCAGCTCTGCCTGTCGGATACGCCTGTCTGAATGGGGTTAGGCTCTTAGAAGTCACCCCCCACCCCAGAATCCAGGCCCAACCCTCCCGAGTTGGCCTCGGCAAGCTCACCTGCCCAGATCTCCCACCAAGCGGGAAGGGAAGGACCTTGCAGCTGGGGGATTTTGCTTTGTTCTAGAACTCACTGTTTTCCAAAGCACAGAACAAGCAGCGTACCTGGTTCCTTTGTGGGAAGGGGCTCCGAAGGAACCTCTGGGAGCTTTATCTGCTCCTGCAAGAAACAGAAGGTGGAGGCTGTAGACACAGCCTGAACAAGACCTCCCGTGCCACAGCTCCAGAGCGCCTGAGACTGGAATGACCCCAGGGGGCTTCCTTGGAGATCCCTCGTCAGACCCTGGACAGGCAGGAGCACGGGCTTTGAAACAGACCTCAGTCTCGCACAAACTCTAGTTACTTTCGGAACACCAGCTGCAAAGCCAGAGTGGTGTACTCACATGAAGCCCGGTGCAGGTGCTCACCTAAGGCCAATGACCACAATGGGCAGAGGCCTCCTGGGGGTCCGATCCCCTGAGCGACCGTGCCTGGTCCTGGGGGTCTGATCCCGAGCGACCATGCCCCGTCCTGGGGGTCCGATCCCCTGAGTGACCGTGCCCTGTCCTGGGGGTCCGATCCCCTGAGCGACCGTGCCCCGTCCTTACCTGAGTAATTGCATTCAGCTCCTCCAGGATGGCATCTTCATCCTCCTGAGTGAAGCTTCCTGCCAATAGTTCATCTATTTGCTGCAAAAGGAGGAGCAGAGGTGAGGACAGTGGCCAGGCTGGGGCAGGGGGTACAGTGGCCCCTTGTGGAGGAAGGAGACAGCCCGTGGCTCAAGGCCCTCCTCACTTGAGAGATGGTGACCACCAGGGGCCTGGGGGGCGTGGCCCTCGAGGGTGGTCGCTGGGCACGCCCAGGCGGCTGGTGCGCTTGCTGGCTGGTGGAAGGTGGGGCCCCGTGACCCAGCAACACCAAGCGACACCTACCCGCTGGTACTCCACGGCTTCCTGGGTCTCCTCCAGTATCCGCTCCACTTCTTCTATGGACATCACCTAATGAGTGCAGAGCGTGGGGGTCCCGTCAGTGAGGCACATAACCAACCCCCGAGGTAAGACCACCTGGACTGCAGGGCGCAAGCCGGGCCACGTGGACACACAGCTCTGGTGCTTTCTGCCGTGGGCTGGGCCTGCGCACAGAGGCTCCAGGGCTGTCAAGACCCGTCTCTTCAGAAGCCTTGAGTGCACTGCTCAGACTCCTTCTGGCCTCTGCTGCAGGCCTTCGGGTACCCCAACCAACCCTAGCAGGTCCAGGTAGAAATAAATAAAACGGCGTCAAAAACGTTCTCTGGGCAGCTGACTCGACTTCCTTTGGGTTCACAGTAGCTCCTTCGCTTGAGTGGCAGGCACAGCACCACAGGGACGGTCAGAAAACCTGGGAGGCCGTGGTGCCCCGTGTAGCCCCCTGCTGTCCTCTCATCAGGAGATGGCCTCTCTGGGCCTCACCCTCCTTTTGCCACCCACCCCTATGCTGCTTCCTGGGACGAGGCTCTGGTCACCTCCTCCAGGAAGCCCTCCCAATGAGTTCACTACCCCGTTGGTGCACCCTCACCAGGTTTTTCTTCCAGTCCCTCGAGCATCTGCAGACCCAATTCATCGTCTCTGCCCATCACCCCATCCTCAGGCCAATACCCGAGTCTGTCTGCCCCCAACACCATCACCCTCTCCCACATTCCCGCCAGGCACGGACAGCTCCCGGCCGAGGTGTGAGCTCAGGAGCAAGCCCCGCCCCTCGTTCCCCGAGCCCCCCTTCCTCTCTGCCCCCACCCTGCGAGGACCTACCTGGTGCATCTTCTTCAGACACTCGTTTCCAATCTGCAGCCCTTCCACCACCTTCATTTCAATCTGGGTGAACTCAATGCTCTGGACCTGGGGAGACCGCAGCAGACTCGGCCGTCAGGGGCCCGCCTTCCCCGCCCGCTCCCCGCCGCTCCCGCTCGCCTACCATCGTTTCCAGGCTGCTGATCTGGTTCTCTGTCTTGTCCAGAAGCTGCTCCCGATACCGCTTCTTCTTGAGCAGCAGCTTGGCGCGGCTGCAGAGGGAACCCGAGCAGTGAGCCGGCAGCCGTAGCCGTTGGCCGGCCTTGCCCGGCGCTCACCGGCCTCCTGGGCCAGCCCACCCCCGGTGTGGAGCCTGTCCGCGCGCAGCCTGCCCAGGGCCCCACTCACTCCTTCTTCCCGTCCCGGAGGAGCTGCCTCGCGATCTCCCGCTCCCTCTCCAGCTGCTGAGTGATCCTCTTCTGGTACTGCTTCAGCTTGTCCCGCTGCTGCTTTAGTTGCTGTGAGAGAGCAGGCCGAGGTCAACAGCACGGCCTCCCCGCACCGGGCCCCGCGGGCCACCCGGCACCCGGCCCGGCCAGCCTGGAGGTGCTCGGACTGCCGCCCCTGGCAGCACACCCTCTGAACAGTTCTCCACGGGGGCCGTGGGCACATGGCGCAGTATCTGGGCACGTCCGCGGCTGTCAAGAGCCGGGTGCTGCTGGCCCCGTGGGTGGAGGCTGGGGATGCTGCTCAATGCCCTGCGATGCCCGGGATGGCCTCGACGCAGAGTGAGCCGGCCCCATCGTGCACGGTGCCGAGGTGGGGACCAATCTGCAGCCCTTCGCAGGGGGCTGATGCTCACAAGCGCATCTCCGCACGGCACTGCCGTAGCTGCTCTGGGGGCAGGCCAGGGTGCTGACGGTGCCTCGAAGGTTCAGAGACAACATGGAAGGGCACCAGAAGGCACCATGCCCCCGGCCCCAGCGAGGGTTTGGGGCCTTCCGTCCCGGCTTCATTTGGGTGAACTGTTTGTGTGATCTCACCAAGCCCCTGGGACCCCCAGGTACCGTCCCAGAAAGGACGCATGGCCATTTACACATGCCAGTCAATTCTACCCTATTTTAGGCCATTTACGTCTCTTCCAAATTTCATTTTTGATGATGCTTGGGTGAGCACCTGCAGCCACAGGGCATTTCTCATACGTAGCATTATGTCTTTAGGATCGATTGCTCTGAATTAATGAAGTTAACTAAGTCGTGAGCTAGGTACATCCGTAAGACCCCGTATGGCTAGACACCACCCAGCAATGTAGACGTGTCTGCAGGGGCCTGTTTGAGGGTCCCTCTACAGCACGTTCTCCTGAGGGCCTGGCCCTACCGCACCACGGGGCCTGTGGGTCAGGCTCTGTGATGGTGCCGCTCTCCTTGCTGCAGTGCAGGGTGCCCAGTCTCCTGCCCCCACGGCCCACGGACACCGTGGCCAGCCTGCCGCCCAGTCTTCTCAGCTCTGGCTGCCCTTCCTCCCCAGGGCCTGGGCACCCACACCCACCCCTCGGGCCACTGTCCCAACTGGGTGCGCATAAAGTATTGAAGACAAAAGAAGCAGGTGTGGCCAGGCTGCCCCCCCGTTGTAAAACAAGGAGTGTTGGCAGAGGGTCACGGGACGGACGGACACTAGGCTCGGAGCGTCTTAGGAAACCATCAGGCAGTAATTTGTTTTAATGTGTGCAAGCCTCGTTGTTCCCCAAACTGAATCCCCAGCAAGTGGCAAGGCCTCCTCCAAGAGGAACCCAGAGGTGAGTCCTTAGGGGGAGACGACGCCCGCCTTGGGGGCTTCCCGGTGCCAGAGCAGCGACCAGCAGGGCCCGATGCCCCCGCTGCCCTCCTGCTGCCCCTCGCCCGACTACCCATCCGGCTCCCGCTCAGCACCCAACGCTGTTCAGATCTTTAGGGACAATTGTGCCTGATTCTCCTTCCTCTGGGGAACTTCAGCTAAGAACCCGTTATGACATAGGGCCAAGGTGGAAAAAAAAAATCATCTGTCGCTTGAATTCGTTTCTCTCTTGGTGCAAAAATAACGGGTTTTCGATGCAGGCAGCTTAGAAAAGACGACAGGCCAAACAGTCAACTCCGCTCGCGCTTAGGACCCCCGCCCCCCGCCCCCCGACTCTCCACCTGCCGCGTCACTTCACCCGAGACCGGGTCTGTCCGCAGCAGCGAAGTTTTCTACCGGGGCTCCGCGGACTCCGCGGGCGGGAGCAGCAGTGGGCGCGGGGCTCCGGGGGCGGGGCTGAGAGGGGGCGGGGCCTCCACCAGGGGCGGGGCTGAGAGGGGGCGGGGCCTCCACCAGGGGCGGGGCTCAGAGGGGGCGGGGCCTCCACCAGGGGCGGGGCCTCCACCGGGGCTCCCTCGGGCCGCGGCCCCCGCCCCCACCCCCAGCCCGCAGCGGAGCGGGACCCCGCGGGGCGCCCCCGCCCCCACCCCCGCCCCCACCCGGGACGTGGCCGGGACCTGCCCCCTGGAGCGCGCGCCCGCCGGCAGAGCAGGTGCGACCACGACGGCGCGGCCCCGGCCCGTCCAGCCCCCCCCCACCCCCCGCCCCGGGCGCCTGCAGCGCGGGGCTCGAGCTCGGAGGCCGCCGCCCGGCCGCAGGAGCCCGCCCAGCCGCCGCGCCGCGGGCCCGCTCTCACCAGCACGGCCTTGTCCTGCTCGGTGACCCGGCTCTGCTTCTTGCGGCCGAACAGGTTGCCCATGGCGCCCCGGCCCGCGCCCCGCCCCCGCCGCCCTTCCGGCCTCCGTACTCGGGCCCCGCCCCCTACGGCGGCCGCGCGGGACCAGGCGCCGCGGAGGGCGACGCGCGCGGGCGATGACGTCACCGGGTTCGAATCCGCCCCTGCGGCCTCGGCGACCGAGACCCGAGGGCGCCGCCGAGGGATGCGCGCCGCGTGACCTCCAGGAGGCTGCAGCGGGGCTCTCGGGCACGAAGGGGTCCCTGACGCCGCGGTCGGTGACGCTCTGATCAGCCCGCGGCCTCCCCGCCGCCCGCGGGGCCGCACCTGACGGCTCCGCGTCACCTGGGGCTCCCCGTGCCCGGGCAGCCTCCGGCCGGGGGGCGGGGGGAGGGCTCCGCGGGGCCTCGGGGCGCGGAGCATCACATCCCCTGGCTCCGGGGACGCGCTGCGCTGCGCCCCGCTCGGCCGCCCCGGGGACCCCATAAACCCCATAAACCCCATAACCGAGGCCGCAGGGCCGCGCCAGCTCCGGGCAGCCCCGCGGCCCCAGCACGGCAGCCCCTGCCTCGCCCCTGGGCCAGGTGCCGCACCCAGAGCCCGCGTCCTTCGGTGGGGACAGGTCACCGCGTCCCGGCGGAGCGGGGCCTGATGAGCCGACCCGCCCCGGGTGCTGCCTGGGCCCCCAGGCTGCTCTGGGCTGCTCTGGGCTGTTCTGGGCACTGACAGCCGTGGGCAGCGGCCTCGGTTAGGGGGGTTGGAGTTGCTGAGCCCCGGCCTCATCCCGGCTGCCGAGGCCACTTTGCACTGGGCCACCAGCCGGGAGGCAGGAGAAAGCGCTCGTGGGGGCGACCCAAGTCCGCTTTGGGCCCCGAGGCCTGGAGTTCTGTCCCTGGTGCCGGCACCTGCTCTAGGGCTGCCCCATACTTCATCCTGGACCCCCTGACTGGCCGGGGGTCCCCTAGGGGGCCGCAGCCGCCTGCCAGGGCAGGTCCAGCCTTGCTAGGACAGCAGGGGCCTGCCTGCGGCGACGCGCGGTCCCGAGGCGAGAGCCAGAGCTGGTCGGTCGGAGAGGCCGCCACTGGGCCGCGAGAGGCGCGGGGCCGTGGAATCCACCGCCCACCCCGTAGGCCTTTACGTCCAGCAGTAGCGATGCCCCGTGACCTCCAAGGCCGGGTCACGAGGCGACACGGCCCCATCTCTCCGGGTGCGCACTCTGGAACCCAGCCGCCTGGAGACTGGGGTTTCTGCCGGGGTCACAGGAGCCGGGACAGCTTTCCCCACGCACCTGGCCTCACGGTCGGAGCCACCAGCGCAAGGGTGAAGTGACGCGATGGGGCGGCGGGCGATCTGAGGGCCCGTCCTGCCCTCGCTCCCGGCCGCCCTGGACCTGACTGGGCCAGGGGAGACGTAGGACTCTGTTGGGGACGTCGGGCGGAGCTGGATGATTCTGTCCACGGCCGGGGCCAGCGTTCCCACACTGTGCAGCTTGCTCGGGTCTAGGGGCCCGACCAGCCATCACGTCCTCCACGGATGCTGGAGGTCCCAGCACGGTCCCTCGTGACTGCTGCTCCCACGAGCCCCTCCCTCATCTCTGGGCCCGGCCCCTCCGGGTCCCCGGGGGAAATCGGGGGGCTCAGTTGTGATGGCAGCACCTCTACCGTCATCCCTGGCCCACGGACAGCTTCTCAAGCTTGTCTCGCCAAGGGCTGTCTCAGAGCCTCTGCAGGCTGGCGTGCTTCGGGGACACAGTGAGGGCCCCAGGGAGGGGGCCGCACCTGACAAGCTCACACCGCGTCCTTGTCTCCCTAAGCCCCTGCCCTGCACCCCCCGGGCGCCCCCCGTGGCTGCGGGTTTGAGCCAGTAACGTCTTGGTATTTTCGGGGTGGGGTCCCGAGGACCACCAGTGTCCCGGTAGTGACTGCCCACGTGAGGGGCTGTCCCCGACAGGCAGGAGGGCCCCCGGGCTGGCGGCTGGGGACTGGGGGGGCAGGGACAGGGACGGGGGTGGGGGGCACAGTCCTTCCTCTCCGTCTCCATCCTCAGCCGTCTCCAGGCTCTGAGCTGGCCGGGCGGCGGACACCCGCCGTGGGCCGTAGTCCTTGCAGCGCGGGGCAAGGCTGGGGGGGCGCTTCCCGGACACCGCGTCCCACCCAAGCACTAAGGCCTCCCGAGGCCGCCAGCTTTCCTGATCTGGATCCGCCCTGGCCCTGAGAATGTAAAGCGCCACGCTCATCGGTTTAAAAGATGTGATCTTGCCCCCGGGCGGTCAGAGGTCACCAGTGGGCGCCGGCCCCCACGCTGCTGTGCAGCTGCCGCTCGGGCTCCCAGAACCCGGCCTCGGGAGCACCTCGGCCGGCAGTCACAGACGCGCTTGGCCACGTTGGCGAGCACAACTCGGCTGCCCAGCCCCTCGCAGGCCATGTGGTTGCCGGGGCTGCCGTGACAAATTGTCACAGCCCGGAGGGCGGGAACCACAGAAATGCGTGGTCTCTAGGCCTGAAGGCGGGAAGGCGAGGTGTGGGCAGGGTCCTGAGGGGGTCGCCCTGGTCCGCTGGTGCCGTGGCTGGTCCTTGGCCTGTCCCTTGGCCTGTCCCTGCCGCCCCCTGCCTCCGGCCGCCCTGTGTGCGCGGCTGTGTCCAGATTTTCCCACGAGGTCCCGGTCATACTGGATCAGGGCCCACCCAGGGGCCTCTTCTTATCTTGATTACCTCTGCAAGGGACCCTACTTCCAAGTTAGATGACGTCCAGAGGAACGGGGGTTAGGACTTCAATAGCTGCATTTCGAGGGGACGCAGTTCAACCCGCAACACAGCGATGAGGTCACCACTTCTTTTTTTTTTAATTTTTATTTATTTATGATAGTCACAGAGAGAGAGAGAGAGAGAGAGAGAGAGAGAGAGAGGCAGAAACATAGGCAGAGGGAGAAGCAGGCTCCATGCACCGGGAGCCCGACGTGGGATTCGATCCCGGGTCTCCAGGATCGCGCCCTGGGCCAAAGGCAGGCGCCAAACCGCTGCGCCACCCACGGATCCCGAGGTCACCACTTCTTATAACCTATTCTGGGTTTCAGCCTTCGAGGCTCTCTCCTGGGGTTAGAGGCTATGGGAACCCCCACATCGCCCTGCTTCGCTCGGGGCACCTCTCGGCATTTCAAGCCCAAGGTGTGTAATGCAGGGTCAGTGCCTCTAAACCAGCGACGGGGTGGCAGGAATGAAGGCGGGGGGCCCATCACTGGATCTTGGGGACACCGAAACTCCGCAGCCCGAGGGAACGCGAGGTGTCGGAGAGGGCCGGCGTCCTGCCCCGTCTTACCTGCCGCGAGCCTCCCCCCCCCCCGCCCCCGGGTAGCCTGCGGCCCCCAGCGGGCTCAGGAGAAGCATGGAAAGTAGCCTGGAATCCCGATGTGGTGGCCACCCCGGGGGGGGGGGGGGCGCTGGTAGGAAAACACGGTCCTCGTGGGGGGCACCAGCAACAGGGCCGCTGGCGGCCCCCCGGAGTGACCCCAGGCCTTCTGGAGCAGGTGACAGAAGCTGCACCTGAGACGCGGGGAGCCGGCTGCAGGGACCACCTGGGGCTCCGGGTCCCCGCGGTGCACCTGCTGCACATCCTCCAGCCGCGCTCGGATTGGCCGCCCTCCAGGGGCCAATCAGCTGTGGCCGCGGGCGGGGCTGGAGGCTGATTGGCTGAGCCTGGCTGCGGTGCGCGCAGCGGGCCAGTCCGCGGCGGGAGGGCGGGGCCGCGGGGCGGGCGCTCCACGCACGTGCTCACCACCGTCCCGCCCGAGGCCCGTGGTCCCCGCACCTGTGTGTGGGCCGTGGGTCCTGCGGGCGCTGAGCCGGGGTGGTGGGAGCGGTACAGGCGCAGCGCCGACGGGGCCCTAGGGCGTGTGAGGCGTTGCCAGGGGTCCCGGTCAGGGGTCCTGGGTGTGGAGCGCAGGAGGCAGCAGGAAACGGTGGGAAATGCGGGATGAGCCAAGGAATCTTCTGGAAGAAGTCAGAAGAATCTGGGCAAATTCCCAGGGACTGGGTGTGAGCCCAGGAGATGCTGGGGACCCAGGTCAGGGTGTTGGCCCGTGGACGCTGGAGCGGGCCTGGGGGTGGGCCTGTGGGGGCCCCGGGGCAGGCATCCTTGGGGGGACCGGGGAAGGGAAGCGGCCCTGAGAGGTCTGGACTGCAGGGGGTTGGCTGCGGCGGGGAGGCTGCAGGCGGGAGGCTGTGGCGGGAGGCCTGGGAGGGGCTGCAGGGGGGGAGGCCTAGGAGGAGCTGCAGGGGGGAGGCTGTGGCGGGAGGCCTGAGAGGGGCTGCAGGGGGGAGGCCCGGGAGGGGCTGCAGGGGGGAGGCTGTGGCAGGAGGCCTGGGAGGGGCTGCAGGGGGGAGGCTGTGGCGGGAGGCCTGGGAGGGGCTGCAGGGGGGAGGCTGTGGCAGGAGGCCTGAGAGGGGCTGCAGGGGGGAGGCTGTGGCGGGAGGCCTGAGAGGGGCTGCAGGGGGGAGGCCCGGGAGGGGCTGCAGGGGGGAGGCTGTGGCGGGAGGCCTGGGAGGGGCTGCAGGGGGGGAGGCCTGAGAGGGGCTGCAGGGGGGAGGCCTGGGAGGGGCTGCAGGGGGGAGGCTGTGGCGGGAGGCCTGGGAGGAGCTGCAGGGGGGTTGGCTGTGGCGGGAGGCCTGGGAGGGGCTGCAGGGGGGGAGGCCTGAGAGGGGCTGCAGGGGGGAGGCCCGGCAGAGGCTTGGTTTGCAGGCCCCGCGGCAGCGGAGCCCCGGAACCGCAGCAGGTCAGGTGCCGAGACACGTCTTTTAGGGCCTTGAGGGAGGAATGGACGCGGGCGGCGGGGCGGCGGGGCGGCGGCCGGCGGGGCACCCATGTCCTTGCTGGAGGGTGGGCGGCGCCGCGCTTGCAGCGGCGAGCCCCGGGCGGCCACGCGGTGGCGCTGCAGGACAGCCTGGCGTCGGGGCGCCGCCTCCCCGCAGGGACCGCCGCCCGCCCCCCGCGCCCCCGCCCTGCACCTCCGCGCGGGGCTTCGCCCGCCAGCACCTGCCACCCAGCGGGCCGTGGGTCCAGGGGTCCTCACAGGACGGCGGGCCCAGCAGGCCGCGGGGCCGCGTGGAGGGCTCCCTGGCTGGGTCCCTGCCCGGGGTGGGCAGCGAGCGATGCCCTCGACGTCCAGATCCCGCGCCGCGGCCGCCCGCCTGTCCACCCGCACTGGGTGCCTGCTCTGGGTGCTGCCCGGGTCTGCGCCCTGGGGGTGGGTGGGTGCTGAAGACCCGGGTCAGGCGCCCTGATGGGGGCCGGGCACCGTGGGGGGCGGGAGCTCTGGTCCCCGGACCCCCGGGCGTCCTGGCGAGCAGGGCGCAGGGTGCAGGTGACCTGGTGTCCCCGCCCCCCCCCCCCCCCCCCCCGACTGGCACAGACTTGGGAGAGCCCCCTCTCCGCCTGCGGGGCCGGATCCAGACCCAGACCCGCCGAAGCTGCGCCCAGCGCGAGCTCACGCTTCTGTCTTGGGGTTTTGTGTTTCTTTAGGTGGAATTCACGCCACATAAATTCACCATTTTAAAGTGGACGATTCAGGGCATGTGGTGCCTTCGCGATGTTGGGCCACCGCGACCTCCCGCAGCTCCAGAACGTTCTCATCACCCCTGCCCGGCCCCGGGAACCACTGGTCTTGACACGGGTTCTGCGGGGCCGCAAGCCGGATATTTCATAAAAGGACAGTTAGCTCCTGGCCGCGCGCCTGTCCCCTCCCCCGGCCGGCCCGGCCCGTGGCGGGTTTGCCACTGGCTTCGTGCGGTCAGACCACGGCCTGTGTACCCGCCCGTCCGCGGGCGCCCGGGGGCTGCGTCCCGGCTGTGGCGAGGGGCGCTGCCGAGAACGGTGGAGCCCAGGCCCCGCGGGACGTCTGTCCCCCTCCGGGCCCGGGGCTCCCGTGTCCTGTGCTCGCCGAGGTTTCAAGCCGAGCGCGCTGCTCTGCTCCCTGCGGTCCCACCGCCCTGGCGGGGGCCTGTGTGGGTTCCAGGCCCCAGCGGGTGTGGGGTGGCACCTGTTCGCGCTTTCCTAGACACGAATGACGCCGAGCCTCTCGCTGATGTCCGCTGAGTCGTGAGAGGGCTGCGTGGCCTGGGCAGTCCTGCCTTCCAGGCGCGCGGTTTGCACACTTTCTGCAGAACCGTCGTCCGTAGCTTGTCTTCCCTGCATCTTGGAAAATGTCTTTGATGCACAAACCGTGTCACCCAGTCAAGTCCGACCGCCTCCTCTTTCGCCGCGGGTGTCTCCGGTGCCCCCGCAAACCCCGGGGCTGCAGGGCCTGACGCCTCCCCGTGTGTCTTCCCCACGAGCCTGGCGGGTTCAGTTCTTGTGCTTGTGCCCCGACCCCCGAGTTGGTTCTCGCGGGTGGTGGGAGCTGAGAGCGCGCCTGCACTCGGCTTCCGGGGCTTGCACGCCCAGCTGTCCCCCCCTTTAGCCCGAGGCGGGGGGCGTCCATCTCGGTGCAAGGCGGGTACTGGAGGCCTTGGCGCTCGGCTCGGGGTGGGGGGGCTCTGGGCCCCGCTCCCCTGCCGGGCAGCCCGGCCTCGTGCCCACACCGCCGTTTGGATCATCGTAGCTTCGTAGGAAGTTGTGAAACAGGGAGATTCGAGCCCCCCAAGGTCTGCCTTCCCATTGTGCCTGGAGACCTCGCGGCCCCTCGCACGTCGTCCCCGTGCGTCGGAGGGGCGGCCCCCCCAGGTCTGCGGGAAGGCGCCCGGGGGTTTGACTGGAGGGTCCCGGGTGCGCAGGGCGCCGTGGGGAGGCTGCCGCGGGCGGCGGGGGGCTGGGGACGGCCGTACCCCAGGATGCGCTGGCCCCCGAGGTGGGTGGGGGGCGCGGGGCCTGCCCTTGGCCCATGTCGCCGCGCCGCGCCGGGTGGAGCCAAAGGGCCTTTCCTCGTCCTGCTGCTGACAAGCGGGGACGCTGCCACCCCACGGCCCGCAACCCGTCAGCTGAGGAGCCGACCACACGGCGGCTTAGAGCCTGTCCGCGGCCGGGCCACCGCGAGGGGTCCCCCCAAGGAGGAGGAGCGGGTGGCCCAGGTCCTAGCAAGGCCCTGAGGTCAAGCCCCTGGTGGAAACCTCGACAAGAACGGGGCCGTGGGGGCTGAGCGCTGACCCCTGCTTGCTGGGCACCGTGGGGGGCCGGGCTGCCCCCAGGCTGGTCTCGGGTGAATCCCCAGGGCCCTCTCCCCACTCCGTGCAGGGCCCGATACTGGCATCACCGTGTGCGCCTGCGTGCCCGCGGGGACAGGTGGGGGCGGCCTGGGCACCCGGCGGGGGCCTCTGCACCTGGGTGTGCTGACGGGCGCGGTCAGCACCCGGTGAGGACAGCCCAGGGGATGCTCCTCGGAGGCCCCCAGCAGGACGGGGCCGGGTCCCCAGGGGGCCCCGCAGGACGACCCCACCCGACGACCACCCGGAGGCCGCAGCCCTCCCTGCCCTGCCGCGGGACTGGGGCTGGGGGCGAGTCGACTGCAGGGCCCCTGGCGCCCCGGGTGGCCACCTCTGCCCGCGGGAGCGTGTCCGTGAGCACCGGCTTTGCACGCAGTCTTGGCGCCGGAAAATCTTACTTTCCGTCTGTTGGTAGGAAGACACTGCTTCCTGTGCGGAAGCACGGGCGCGGGGGGCTGCGTGTCCTTCCTGCACAACACGGACGTCACCGCGCGAGCCGGAGCTGCAGTGCTCAGGCCCCGGGTTTCCATGGCGACGCCCCCAGCACAGCAGGTGCAGCCTGTGCCCCTCCCGACCCCTTCTCCCCACGGGGCAGCGTAGACGCTTTCCTTCCCATTCCCGCCGCCGCCCCATCCTCTGGCCGGAGGGGCCCCTGCCTTGTAGACAGAGGCGGGGGGCGGATTAAAGCCCCTAAGGATGCCCGAGTCCTGCTCTGGCCGTGCCTCCAGGGCACCGGGCTTCGGGGTGTTGGAGACTGTCCCCCCGCCCCCACACCCCTGGGCCTTCACAGTGGAAGAGGAGGTGGAGGGTCGGCATCAGAGCCACGGGGACACGGGACACGGGACACGGGCCCGGAGCCTGGACGCCAGCAGCTCCTGAAAGCTGGGAAAGGGGGAAATGGAGTGTCCCCCGGGGTCCTGCTGCAGCGGCCTTGCCTGGCGTCTCCAGACCGGGTTCGGTTTGGGGGTCCCGCTGCACGGGGGTGTCATCGATCTGGGGACCCACGGTGCTGCTCCCGTGACCGGGCCCCTTTCTCTCCCGCCTGCCTCTTGCTGCCGCCCACCTGCCGGCTGCCCTGGGGACCCTGTCCCGAGCCTCCTTCCAGAACGAGGACGCACACGATCCGCCCAGAACCCCTCACCCCGGGGAGCCAACCAGCGCTTCCTCCGGGAAGCCCGCGCGGCAGGGACCGGGACCTTGCGTCCTGGGACTCAGGTGGCCCCTGGTCTGTGCTGGCCGCGGGGGCGACACGAGGGCGCTGGAGCCTCCCCGCACTGCACCCCTGCGCCCGGCCCCGGACCTGGGGTGCGCCCCGCCCTGCTGGAGTGGAGGTCAAGCAGGCCTCGGGCCGGACCCGGGGGCACCCAGGTCTCCCCCACCCCCGCGGCGCCGGCCGACCACGCCCCTCCCGCGGAAGGCCCCGCCCCCACGGCCGAGTCCCCGCCCCCGCCCGCCCCAGGCCCCGCCCCCCGCCCCGGGCCGAGCCACCAGGCCGCAGCGGTCACCTCTGCACTTGTTTATTGTCATGAACAGTCGTTCGCTCGCGCTTTCACTCCGCAATTCTCATTTGGTAAAATAAATAGAGATAAACGAACCTTCAGGGCGTGCTCTGTGGAGCCCCGGGTAACTCCATGATTGGACTTTCGCGTGGGCCCCGGTTAGACCGGCCGCCGCGTGGGTGTGGGCGGCCCCGCGCCCCGCCCGGGCCCGCTGCAGGGGGCGAGCAGCTCCCTCCGGCCGGGCGTGCGGGGCAGGGGCCCTCCCGGCGAGGCTGCCAGGCGGGCGGTTGAGCCGGCTCACTCTTCCACGGTAACCGTGATTCCCAAGGAAAATGGAAAAATGCTTTTCAGAATCTCATCATTGGGGTTTTGTTTTACAAGCGCTGCAGTCGGTCAGCACACCTCCGTTGTCCTTCGTGGGGAAACGGTCCCCATGGCCCTGAGGTCTGCACGGGCTGTGAGGACACGCGCACACCCGTGTGTGCAGACGTGCAGACGCCGGGGCACACCCTAAAGCGACCACCACGAGACTTCTGCGTTACTCATTGCAAGATACACACTTCTGCTGCACCAGCGAGTGGCGGCAAACACGGGCCACTGTTTACCACAGACGCCCTGGGGCCCCAGCTGCCCCCTGCACGTGTGTGATGCACGTGCCGGCAGGGAGGCCACGGGGCCACACGTGGACACGCATGCGCGGGCTCAGGTGTGGAGACCGCGGGGCCCTGCACACAGGTGTACACCCGTGTGGGAGGCCACGGGCCCAGGTGGCTGTCACTGCACCTGCCCAGAGGCAGCAGTAGAGAGAAACAGGCCCCGTGGCCCAGTGGTGGCCGGATCACCAAGGACCTGCCTCACCTGTCCAAAGCCACAGGCCCCTCCTGCTAGCGGGTCTGTGGTGAGAGGGGCCCATGCCAGGGGGTGGGCTGCGTGGCAGAGGGGCAGTGCCCAGCCTCACACCGTCTGGCCATGAAGGACCCCAGTGGGCGAGGACTGGGGGTTGGCGGGAGGCTCGGGCTCTCTCCTTCCACGGCTCTCTTGAATATGCCCCCTCCCAGCCTGCTTGGAAATGCCCCCCGGAGCGTGTGGCTTGCAGCCAGGGGGATGCCCGGCCCAGACACCCGCGATGAGCCCCAGCGCTCCCCCATCCGCCGGGGTGGCTGAGCCCCGGGGAGCCGGCTTCCGTCTCGGAGCTTTCCTGGAGTCAATGCTGGGTCCTCGCAAAACAGAACCAGTGCGTTTCCCCCTTTAAAAATCTCAGAAGCAAAACAGGACGGGAAGGGTGCTGGGATGTCTGCGACGGTCCTTGGGCTGTCACACGGCAGGACTCCACCAGAGGCCCCTTCCCTGGGCTCCTGGGCATGACAGTGACCACAGACGGACGGACAGACAGACAGCGAGGGGCCTCCGGGAGCCCCTGGCAGCAGGTCAGGACCAGTGTTCAGGGTGGTGCGGTGGATCCAGTATGTACACGGAGGCCTGGCGGGGGTGGGGGGGCGCCTGCTATCTGGCACGCTTCTCCACGGAGTACACGGAGATGTAGTAGTCGTTGCTGCCCACGGCCAGGTGAGGCTGCGAGGAGAGCAGGGCAGGTGAGCAGGTGGGCGGGAGGGCGCCGTGCAGCTTCCTCATCCCCACCCCGCTGCGGCTCTCGGCAGAGGCCCCACAGCCCGCCACAGGGACGCGGGGCCCCCACGGCTCCCTGTGGGGATGGTTCTGCGAACCCAGCCCCGAGCGTCCAGGCTGAGAGCCCCACACTGCCTGGGGGCCTCTGGCGGAGCCCACGGACTCGTGGAGCGGCCGTAAGGGATGAGCATGCGTCACAGATCTGGGCTGCTCCTCCCCGGGGCCCACGGGCTGGGCGAGGATGCCCAGCACCCTCCTCCCTGCGAGGCTTCTGCAGGGGCGGCATCAGTGCAGGCCCAAAGGTGGCGAAGAGGGGCTGCCTCATGTCTGTGCAGCCCACGACGCCCTGCCTGACGCGGGAATGCGGTGCTGCTTTTAGAGGCAGTTTGGGGGCTGTGATCCCCGGAGACCCTATGCCCTGACAAGATCCTGTTTCTCAACCTTCTTGGACATGGGGAAGGTGGTGTGGGGCGGGGCCCGGCTGCAGTCCCACCTGCCCGCATGCCCCCTGTCCCCCGTCCCCCCGCCCCGCGTGCCCCGAGCCCCGGGTGTGGGAGCACAGACCCAGTGCGGGTGGAAGGCCAGGCAGCTGATGGCCCCGACGCGCTGGCCCATGAAGCCGTCGTAGTACTTGATGTGGTTGATGAGCTCCCCGTTCCCGCTGTAGATGGCCGTGAACTGGTTCATGGAGCCGCTGCGCACAAGGGAGTCCGGGGTTAGCCTCCCGCCGGGGCGGAAGCAGGGCAGCGCAGAGAGCTGGGCGGTGGCCCCTCCCCCCCACGGCACCGTCCCAGACACCGGGCTGCCCTGGCCGCCCATCACCCAGGCACGAGGGTCCCCACAATTATGTGGCTCCAAAGAGCACTGCTTCCCAGGCATGGGGGACGGCGCCGGCTGTTTACACGGAGGCCCGAGGCTGACTGTGTGCTCTGAGAGGGTCGGGCCAGGAGAGGCCTCGCATCTTCCCTCAGGGTTGGTACCTACCAGGCGATCAGGTTTGCCTGGGGGTGGATGTCGAGGGCCGTGAGCCCCTTCACGATCTGAAGGACGTTCACAGACTCTGGCATCCGAGGGTCGAAGAAACGCACGTCCCCGTTGACACTGCCGGGAAAGGGTCACCGTCGGGGCCCGTGTGCACACGCACTGCTCAAGGCCAAGGCCGGCTGGCCCCTGAGGCCGAGCAGGAGCCCGCCCCGCCGGCCCCGAGCCCCGGACTCCCCCCAGAGCCCGACCGGGCCCCGCGGCCCAGGCGCGGAGCAGCGCAAGCAGACA